ATTGTTAATGATCTCTCTTTAACAGAAGTGTATATATGTTATAGATTTCAAAGTCAGGTATATCGAGTTTGCAAAAGTAACTTACATAGAAATACTGTAACTTTCAGGCTTCTAAAGACAACAAAACAACAACATACCCAGTATAATCCCACAAGTGGGGTCTGGGGAAGGTAGTGTGTACCCTACCCGGAGAGGTAGAGAGGCTGTTTCCGATAGACTTCAGGCTCCTAAAGACAATTTCTCAAAAGAAAATTCAACATAGCAGGGAACTACCCTTTTTAATTCCGAACTGTATGTAGTTTTCAAATGGAAACTATCCTTTGTAATTCTACTCGTCTCTTGGGTCCAACCTTAGTTGTCTGCTAAAATATTGTTTCTTCCAGAAGAATAGGTAAGTCAAACCTCTCTATAATAACCTCATTTGTTCCGATATTTTTTGTCTGCTATAGTGAAGTGCTGTAATATTATAACATAATATAAAAATTGGTTCCGAAAACTTGGCTTTTATATTGAATGGATGTTATATAGGGATGCTATTATAAAGAGGTCTGACTGTATTTGAGCACCTTTTTGGGTTTTTAGTAATTTATTATTAATTTCACACAAGCTCAAACTTCAATCTAAGAAGAATTGATATCCTGGTACCTACATTCTGAGAAATCATCTTCATAAAATAGGGAGATATGTAAAGAAAGAGACTTTATATTCCCATCTTTTTTTCCCCATCTTTCAGATTCTGTCAATTTTACATCATAATAAGTTAATAACCAAGTCATGCACTTTTAGGTAAATACTTTCTCTTGTTAAGATTGAATGACAATCTTATAATGCAGTTTGAACGCTGAAAACAATCACTTAAACATTCTCAATCTGAAAACAATCCAGGAGCCTCTCATAGACTCTCTAGACTTGTTCCTGTAAAAAAACTGGAAGCATGTACAAGCAGGGAAATTGGACAAGAATGAAAGAGAAGCCAATCTTACCCCACAATAATCACAACCGACTCCAAAATGAACCTGCGGTCCTCCACCCGTTAACCATGTTGAAAGATCAAATTTAGGTAGTGATTTGCAACTAGCAGCTTCGTCCTGATCTCCTGTCATACAGAGAGCAACTTGTGATAGAAGGTCAATGACAGCTGAACCAAAACAATATGGTAAAACGTTCTAATTTGACCAATATCTCTGCCGTCACTGGCCACCCCCCCCACCACCAAGGTACCAACCCCCCTCCACCAAAAACGGAAAGAGATTGCCGCCCTTTAATTTTGAATAATCAGTTAAACTTGAGACAGTTTCTATATGGATTATGTATTCACATAATGACGAGCATAATGTGCATGTGACGAATCTATGTCATACTACAAATTTTAAGATAAAGAGTGGTGTAGTCATTCTATTTGTATAGTTGACATCTGACTAAAGAACTATTAACATACGTGTTGCTGGAATCTGACGATTAGATCTATCCACTGATGCGCTTTTCCTTTCTGCATACAGCTTGGGAAATTGCTCTTCTAAGAAGTGCTCAAGAACCAAGCAAACGTTGGGGTATCCATTTGGATGCTCCAGTTGGCAACCTGGACATCTACATAGCTTGTCGCTAGGATTGATCACACAATTTTCACAATAAACTACAGAAGGGAAAACAACACAGTAAGAAATGGCGATTGGCATAATCAACATAATAATTCCTTATCAGAAAAAAGAAGAAAGCAATCAACATAAGTTGAAGGAAGTTGAGCTGACCATGGCCACAGTTAAGAACTACAGGTCGGTACAACAACAGTTTGCAGATCCCACAAAGCAAATCTGTGATAAGCACTTGCTTACTGCTTGCACTTGTATGCTCATCTGCAAAATTAAGATTCTTTGACTTTGCATCCTCTTTGGTTTCAGAACATGATATTGCAGGAAAAACTACTGAGGAATGCTCTCCTTCCCCTGCTGATCCACATTTCTGTGAAGGGATGGAATGAAGTGAAGCCGTGTCTAGAACAAGATCGGTCTTGCCACAGGATTCTGATAAATAATCATCAAACTGAGGTGAAAAATATCCTACTTCCTTCTCCTCCTCTGTAAAAAGGTAAAACATCAGAAAACTTTATCCTTAGCATCTTAAACACTTCCCGGAGATAAGAAAATCGCCAGATAATCACACTGCCTCCTTCCAAAATAAAAACACGATTTACAGTATGGTAGTCAAGCAGCAAACTCTCAAGTTTATATTGGAAATCTATTCATTGACTTGTATCATAGAACAGAAACTACATAAAAGTTACTTTCGAAGACAACCATAGCCAATATTAGAAGACAATTGACCCTCCAAAATCCAAATAGTACCAGTGACAAACAAAATGGGAGAGAAGAACTTGTCAAAGGTAGAAAAAACAAAAAATACGTATAGGATTACTTTCATCCTTTGGAGTTGCCAAAAATGCAACAATTATGGACTTGATGATGCAAAAAGATTGTATTGTAGCATAGGAACTCATTTAGTTTCATGCAAAAAGAGATATCGTATTAAGCACGGCATGCATTGATCAGTTTGTAGATCTTAACTAATGCTGCAGCGGAAATTTGTTTCCCTTATAAGATCCAATGTTGTGAGATCCTAAAACTTGTATCATCTGCTTTATACTACCAGAGCTTAACGATCAACTTTCATCCAATAGATAAATGGGAACTGAACACTGTTAGCAGAGTACACTGCTTTCGCCTTCTCCAAAGCCTTTCATTGAAACAAGTTAAATTGATTGTACCAATTTGTAGTGCTAACTGCAGAGGAGGTTTAATCATAAGAACAGTGCCATCCCAGAAGTAAGTGCTGAAGGCAATGAAAGTTAAAGCATAAGGAGAACAGTGCTGTCGCAGAAGTAGGTATCATGAGACAATTTAAAGAAAAGAAAATCTTAATAGACAGGACGTAAAATGATAACATCTTTGTTAATGCGATGGAAGGGAATTCACACCAACTTGCTTGTCCATATTTTATTCTACGGCAAGAAGCTTCATGAATTTTCTCCTATTGTTATATTTTACTGATCTCACCTTTATACATGACCTAGTGAAGGAGCAGCTTTCAGTTGCAAAAAGGAAAAAGGAATAAATAGTTATCAACTAAACTCTCAATCCCAATTTGATTGGCATCCTTTCCTTGCTTTTGTGGACCTTAGTGACTTGGATTATATCTAATCACAATTCACAAGGGCAACTGCAGCCTTCAAAACTGGGGGATAATGAGCCCACCTTCTACCCTTCTCCACTTAAATACCAGGCTTAGTTCGCATAGCGCAGGGCTCGAACCGTGACCTAAGTCACAAGCCCCTCAACCTTTGCCACTTGATGGTGGGCCAAATAACATTCTTATATTATTGTCTAAATATATGTAAGTTGTTTTCCTACCGGATACAGTTGCAACAATTAAATCGAATGCACCGGACTTCTTACTCTACTACTCATGTAAGTAAAGCTCAAAACATCCAATCGCACATGTGCGGTCTGAGAAGGGTAGTGTGTAATGCAGACCTTACCCCCACCTTGTGGAGATAGAGAGATTGTTTCCGATAAACCATCGGCTCAAGGAACAATGAAAATAAAGTAACAACAAGTAGCAACCACAATATAATAGGAACAAATGGCACAACATGTAATATAAAGAACAAGGAATGAGAAAAATACAAAAATAGTATTAGTACTACTGATAAGACTAAGAGACTAACAACTACTGTCAACTTTCCACCCTAATTCTCTACCTCTACCCTACCCTGTCGAGGGTCATGTTCTCGGTAAGCTGGAACAATGACATATCCTGCCTAACCACCTCATCCCAATACTTCTTTGGCCTACCCCTACTCTTCCTTAGACCCGCCAAGGTCAACCTCTCACACCTCTTGACCGAGGCATCTATGGCTCTCCTCTACACGTGTCTGAACCATCTTAGCCTCGATTCCCGCAATTTGTCCCACACCGAGGCCACACCCACCATGTCCCTAATAACTTCCTCCCTAAGTAAATCTCAAAACTTCCAAAAAATCATAAAACAGGAAATGTGCTAATTTTGATAGGTAAAAAACAATCAAAGAACATTAACTCATAACAGGTTAAGTATCCATCGCGAAATGCATTACACAAGCTGCAAACCAGTCAACCGTTTAATACAAAAGTAGAATTCAACAAAGAACCACTAACCTGCCACTTGTTTTTCCCTTCTTGCACTGTCTAAAGGGTACAACTTTACAAGCAAAAAGTGCATCAATCTACACACACTAGGGAAATGATGATAAGGGTGACGACAAATGGGACAGTTTGACTCCATCAAAGTATTCATGGACTTAAATATACACCAGAAACAAGCAATGTGGCCACACCCTGCAACCCAAAAAATAAAAATAAAAATAAATAAAATCCAGGAAATGGAAACTCCATTTAAATCAAAGATATATATAATTCATTGTACACTTACCTAGCACAACTGGTTTATACAAAAGTTCCCTATAAAAAAAAAAAACAAATCAAAAGAGAAAAGAAATCAATTATATATACAAGACTATATAAGATATAATCGCAACGAGAAAATATTAAGTATATATATTAAAGATGAATTTTTGAGGGTTTTACAGGCAAACACAGCATTGAAATTCATCTGGGATTTCTTCAGTTTGAATGTTTTCATGATTTTCTTGGCCATTTTCCATCTTTGAAGCTGCAAATTTTTTAAGGATCAAATCGAAGATGTTTATCAGCTTTGATTGAAAGGAGCTGTCTAGAAATGAAAAACAAGAGGGTTTTTGACATATAGAGATTGCTTAGGCCCATAATAGAAGTCCTTCTTATCAAATGGGCTTTGGCCCAAAATGAAGCTGGTCCTGGAATGAAATGGGCTCTTGGCCTAGAACAAATGAAGGGTAAATGACACTGTATAATCGCTCTCAAAATAATAATCGAAAAATATTTTTTTTATAGAATTATATATATATATATATATTATATATTATACACAAAAAATAAACAAATTATAAATAGTTTTGGTCGTAGGCTAAAAGTTATCTTTGCGCAATGAACCTTAAAAGATAATGGGCTTTTGTTTCTTAAACTTTTGGTCCAATTAGAATTGTCAAAATGGGCTAGGGCTATCTAGTCCTAGCGGGCTAGAAAATCATCTAAGAAGAATTAATTCAAATAGCCGCCCAGTCAACTATTTAAACTAAAAATAGCCGATAAATGTATAATATATGTATAATTTATATATTATATATGTATTTTTGTATATAATCAATGTATAATATATGCATATGGCTAGAAAAAATAAACAAAGAATATGAACGGCTATGTAAAAATCCCAAAATCTAACAGCCTAACCGAATTCAGCATTTCATTTGAATTGACTTCCAAAATGCCAAATGCATACGACTGGATATCTGAATCGTGCGCAATAAGTTACAAAGCTTATTCTAATGAATAGTTGTACACCGATTAGTACAATAAGTTATTATAATGAATTACTTACCATTTATTACAGGCTCCAATAAACGTTAATTAAATAAAAATTTCTTATCATTATTTTTTAAGCGAGCTGATTATATAAATATTTCTTACATTATCAGTACATAAAATTTAGAATGAAAAACTTAATGTTGCTAATATTATAAATTTATAGACTCTATGGTTTTGAGTACTTATTCCCGCTCCTGCTCCATCTCATACATAAAAAAGAAGAAGAAGAAGAAGAAAAGAGCGATAATGTATTAATATTCCTAATCCGTCCAATCTTTGTTAAAAAATTACTTGATATCTTTGTCGGTGGGAAATAAATATCTAGTAGATTAATCAAAATGCATTCAACTAAGTAAAATATGATTAGTATAGCCAGTACATAGGTTGCAATACCTAAACCTATAGCAGTAGGTTTGCATTATTTTCAGTTTACATAAAAAGTTACATACTAATTAGAATCTCCTACTCCAAATACTGTCATTGTTTTTTGGGAAGGAGAGAGTAGCATTTTACTTTCTTCACGCTATTCATAACTTGTCAAACCTATCAAAGAATAAAGCGTTTTCTGAATTGTAACATTCAATAGTATTAAAGTTACTGTTCCTTAGGCATAATGATGAAGAGATATAAATTGGCTTCTCACTTGAGCTAAGCACTATGCCATTCGATTTAAGTAATTATATATATGTCCATATAGTGTAATTTTTTATTATTATTATCAATAAATTTTAATTTGTGCTAGTAGCTTCGGTTATCCTCCTTATAAGATTAGTAATGGAGCTAAATTAGGATAGAACAGTATCTTTTATTTTTGATTTCATTAATGTATATTTCTGATTCTTACAGCTTTGGTTTTTGATACGATTTATTTATTTTTACTGATATTGTGGAATTCCTTCCCACACAATTCACTAGCTTGTATTTAAAGAGCACATTATCAACGATACACAACAAGCTTTTTTCTATGGTATCTGGGCAATAAACACTCAAACGAGTATAGACTCCAAAATCATCTTCTCCATCTTATTCACAAAGTATCCCTTTTTTTTTCCTCCCCTCTAAATCACCAGAAAATCAATGGGTGACTCCTTTGCTTCAGGCACTAATCCAAACAACAATGATCCAGAAGGCCGCAACATGGAATCCAAAACACAGATTATTAACATCAACCCAACTGCACAGCTTCCTATCAAACTTGTTGGTGGTGCAAACTTCGCAACATGGAAAGCTCAAATTCAAAAGGTCATGAATGGCTTTGACTTGATGGGTTATCTCGATGGATCTATAACACCACCTCCACATACCATTAAGCAAGGAACTCAAGATGTTGTCAATCCAGATTTCAAAATTTGGTTTCAACAAGATAATCTCATCGGCAATGCCTTAATGGCATATGTCGATTTCACTATTGCACCATCTGTTGCCTCCGCTGAAACTTAGCATGGGATTATCTGCATACCACATATGTGAATAAATCTCAAACCCGGATCTATAGTCTTTGAGATGCACTAGCCAAAGTCCAGCGAGATCAAAAGTCTGTCAATGATTATCTCAGAGAAATAAGAACAATCATTGATGAGTTAGCTGTTGTCGGTGCTCGCGTTTCTAATGAAGAATTGGTTGTGAAAATATTGAGCGGTCTCAGACCCGAATATGAAGCACTGAGTACTGTTATTCAATCAAGGGACTCGCCTATATCATATGAAGAATTGGCACACAAGCTCACAGATCATGAACTTTATCTCAAGCAAGCTGAAAAGAAGAAACCAGTAACTCCCATGATTGTTCAAGTTGCACAACGAATAGTCAATAATAATAACACTTGCAACAGACAAACTCGTCGTTGGTCTGGCTAGCCTCAATGGCGTCCACAAATTACTCCTATTGGACAACAACAATGGCATTCCCAGAACACTCAAAGCAATGGAAACCTTTCCCAGCCATGGCGTCCCTCCACTTCGTTGCATGACAAAGTGCCAATTCAATGTCAGTTATGTCAAAAATTTGGCCATACTGCAAATATTTGCCATTAAAAATCACATAACCATTTTGAAGCTAAGGCTATGTATGCTTCTCGGAATTCTCCCAACAATGCTCCTTGGGTTCTGGATATTGGTGCCTCACATCATATTACTGCTGATCCTCAGAGCATAGCCTCTCCACATGAATACACGAGTTCTGAAGAAGTTTCAATGGGTGATGGTAATGGTAATCCGATCACCCACACTGGTTCTACTACACTAAACACTCCATTTCGTTCTTTTTCATTACATAACATTTTATGTGCTCCATCTATTAAAAATAATCTTATATCCGTTTTAAAATTTTGTCAACAAAACCAAACATGCATTGAATTATTTCCTTCGTTGTGAAGGCACTGGCTACGGGGGCACTGCTATTACAAGGCCAGAATAGAGATGATTTGTACGAATGGCCAAAGCTTACAACTTCAGCATATTCATCCCCAACAGCCTACACGGCAAATACCTCAAAAGTTCCTTTATCTATGCGGCATCGTCGTTTAAGATATCCTAATATCCGTCTTCTGAAGTTTCTCTTAGACAATCTTTAGTTGTCGTATTTTGATAATTTTCAATCTTGTAATTCATGCAATTACAATAAAAGCCATAAGAATTCTTTTTCGCAGAACTCTTTGTGCAGTTCAAAGCCCTTTGAAATACTTTATACGGATGTTTGGGGTCCTTCGCCCGTTCTCTCCTTGGATAAAAAGTTTTATTACATTATCTTTGTCCATCAATTTACCAAATACATTTGTCTCTATACACTTAAACAAAAAAGCGATGTCTTCAAGGTCTTTTCAGAATTTCGACCACTCATTGAAAACTTTTTTAATACTAAGATCCTCACCCTTTATTCAGATGGAGGAGGAGAATTTAAATAACTAAATCACTTCTTGCTGAATTTGGTATTCAACATTTATCCTTTCCCCCATATACCCCTCAAAGAATTGCCTTAGCTGAAAGACGTCATAAGCACATTATTGAAACTGCAAGAACCCTGCTTCACCAAGCATCTCTACCGTCACAATTTTGGAGTTTTGCTTGCCAAACTGTTGTTTATCTAATTAACAGATTTCCTACACCATCCATGGTAATATTTCCCCATATCAAGCTCTCTTTGGTACCTCTCCTAATATTTTTTCAATTTTTACGTTTGGTTGTCTATGCTATCCTTGGCTAAAACCATATACAAAAAATAAACTAGAACCAAGATCTATACCATGTGTCTATTTAGGATTTTCTACCCACTTTCACAGTCATCAGTGCTTTGATCCCGAATCCTCAAAAATATATTTCTCCAGAGATGTCGAGTTCTTGGAAAATATTTTTCCATATGAATTTTTTTTTCAAATATAAAGGATCCTCTCATAATATCTCTTGGTTTGATTCTATATCCAATTCAGATACATTATCTTCTTCTCACAATTCTCCAGATCATACCATATTTTTTCTTATTAAATTGTGTAGTCAACATCCACACAAAGATCCAAGCTTGCCTCTTCGTACAAATGACTCTACTGCTTAATCAATAGATGTGTGCCCTCAATCAGAATGCAAATAATTAAGCCTTCGGAGACTAACCAGCCTTCACTACCACGTCACCTTGTCACTCACTCCCAATATCAAATAATTAAGCCTAACCCAAAGTACGCGTCCATGGCCACCCTTACATCCCAAATACCACAAGTTACAGTCAAACTGTAAAGACTCGACTTGTCGTTTTAAGAATTTAAGCCACGTCTGGCAGCATAAGGCCCTGAGCAACTTCTTATTATATGTATTGACTTGCGTGCATGGTTGAATTCAGTTACCGGATAATTCTGAGTGATTTGGGATACTTGGTCCCCAAAGCAGAAGCTTAAGTCTTAGGATTTTTTTACTGTAGTTGGAACTGTGTGAAGACGACTCTGGAATGGAATTTTGATGATGTCAATAAATCCGTATGGTGATTATGGACTTAGGAGCGTGTCTGAAAAATTATTTGAAGGTCTGTAGAGGAATTTGGCTTGAAATGGCGAAAGATGAATTTTTGGAAAGTTTGACCGGGGGTTGACTTTTTGATATCGAGGCCAAAATTCGATTTTGAAAATTGAAATAGCTTCGTTATGTCAATTATGACTTGTGTGCAAAATTTGAAGTCATTCCAGATTGATTTGATGTGTTTCAGCACAAGATATAAAATTTGAAATTTCAAAGTTTATTAGGCTTGAATTGGGGTATGATTCGTGGATTTGATGTTGTTTGATGCGATTTGAGGCCTCGAGCAGGTTCGTGTTATGTATTAAGACTGGTTGGTATGATTGGACGGGGTCCCGGGGGCCTTGAGTTTGAGTCGGGGTAGTTTCGGACCAAGTTTGAGTGTTTTGATGCTGCTGGTTGCTAGTTCTGGTGTTGTTCTTCGCGTTCGCGAGGAGCCTCTCGCGTTCGCGAAGAAGGATTTTGTTGTTGGGACTTTTTTTTTCGCGTTCGCGAAGAAGGAAATTTTGCTGTTCGTCGTTTGACTTTAGAGGCTCATATCTCGTAATCTATAAGGAATTTGGAGATGATCTAAAAATAAAAGTTATAGCCCTTTATGTTTAGTTTTTAGAAAGATAAACCATTTGGCATTTGAATTTGCGTATAAAATGTTATGGTGGATAAACTATAGGTTGTCCGGGAAGAATTTGGAAATCTCTGTTGCACAGGGCTAATTTTGGAATCTTATATCTCATAATCTATAGGGAATTGGAAGATGAGCAACAAATGATAGTTATAGTCCTTGGAGTCTAATTTTCAAAAAGTCAAACCATTTATCATTTGGAGTTATATACAAAAGGTTATGACCATTATATTAGAGGCTGTCTGAGAAGAATTTGAAAATGACTTTTGAAGAATGTGTTCATCGCGAACGCGAGGGGAGTATCGCGAACGCGAAGAACAAACCGCTGGGCAACTGAATAAAGTCCAAATTCGTGTCATTCTTCCATTTTTGGACCAAGGAAGCTTGGGTGAGGCGATTCGATAGGTTTTCAAGGAAAACATTGGGGTAAGAATTCCTAACTTGATTTTGGTTAAATTACATGAATCTATTGTTGTTTTTATCACTAAATTAGTGAATTGGGTTGAAAAATTTAGAAAACCCTCTTGGTTTAAATGTAAGATTTGGGGGTCGATTTATTATTGAAATTAGATAAAGTTGGTATGGTTGAACTCGTATCGGAATGGGTGTTCGGATTTTATGAAAAGTATGCCGGGTTCCAAGAGGCGGGTCCCCCATTGACTTTTGTTGACTTTTTGGAATAAAATTTGAAGTCTACTCATTATTATCCAGAATTATTTCCGATGAATTTTAATGAAGTTGTACAATTAATTTGGATAGATTTGAGCTGTCCGGAGTCAATTTAAGCAAGAAGGCTATTTGGGAATATCGACCCAACTTCAAAAAGGTAAGTGTCTTGCCTAACCTCGAGTGGGGGAATTACTCCTTAAGCATCGAGTCTTATGTGCCGTTTGTGAAATGTGAAAAGTCGTGTACGCGAGGTGACGAGTACGTACTCGGGCTTGTATGTGCAAAATATATTGGGTTTAAGTCTTAGGTATATTGTGTAGTAAATTGGATAATTATTGGCATTTATCTAATTATCTATTTGCCATGCCTAAATCCTTGTTGGTTGAACTTGTTTTTATATAACAATTTGATGTGATTGTTATTTTAATATTTATGTAATTCCGTGAGTTTGTTGGTTTGATAATTCTGGGAAATTAATTTCATTTTGAATTTTCCATATGCAAATAATTAATTAAGCATGTTTAAGAAGAAACGTTAGTATAATTATCTAAATTTGGATTAATGAAGGCTTTGATTTATGCTGAATAATTTCTATCTCTGTTGATTGTTTTTGTGGTGTTATACACATTTTGTGGAGCCTTCGGCTATTTATTGTAAAATTTATTGATTTGGTTGTATCTTTGGAATTTGGCTGTGGCCATTGGGCAAATTGTGGTATGAATTGATTTTGTTATATTGTCGTGATAATTTCCCGTATAAATTTTTGTGTTGTGTGAGTTGGTATTTTGAGGATATAAGGGTGGCATTTCACTGTTGTTATTTTGAGGATATAAGGGTAGCATTTCACTGTTGATATTATGTGGGTATAAGGGTGGCATTTCACTGTCGTTGTGTTTGTTGGAATATTGTCTGGGCGGAGCGATAAGGGTGGCTATAGGAGCGATAAAGATGGCAATAGGAGCGATAAGGGTGGCTATTGATATTGTCTGGACAGAGCGATAAGGGTGGCTATAGGAGTGATAAGGGTGGCAATATGAGCGATAAGGGTGACTATTGTCAGGGACGATATGTGATGATGTGGGGTTGTGGTGCTGATAATTTTTATGTGATGTTGTGATTTTCTTGTGTTTATTTTTATACCTTGTGCAATTTGTCTTGTTGTTGGTAAATTGATAACAATCTGATTTATGTTGAAATTGAGAGCATGTGGTTATTGCCAGGCGGATTATAAAATGAAATGTGGGCACGAGGTGCCGTGAGTAAATAATGAGGATATTTAGAACGTGAATTGTCCGTGCAGTTGTGATATGAAATGTGGGCACTAGGTTCTGTGATGAAATGATAATGATAATTGACACGTGAATTGTTCGTGCAGTTGTGATATGAAATGAGGGCACGAGGTGCCGGGAAAATATGATGNACAGAGCTAGGTATTGGAGATATCGGACTTGAGCAGAGTTAAAGCGCGATCGTAAGAATTCAAAATAGAGCTGCTTGGCCGTCGCAGTCCCTTGGAGTCTTTTCATTTCATTGTAATGTTAATTTGTAACCGAACAGTATTGTATATTCGATCTCTGTGATCATTCCATGTATTCAGTTAGAGTTCTTGACTCAGTACTACCAGTCTTGGGAGATTGTATATTCATATTTATTCCGCTGTTAGTTTTTATTACTTAGTTTCAAAAAAGAAAAATGTCTTCAAAATGCAATTGAAAACGGCTTACCTAGCCTTAGAGACTAGGTGCCATCACGACGCCTTTGGTAGAATTTTGGGTCGTGACAAGTTGGTATCAGAGCTCTAGGTTCATAGGTTCTACGAGTCACGAACGAGTCTAGTAGAGTCTTGTGGATCGGTACGGAGACGTCTGTACTTATCTCCGAGAGGCTACAGAACTGTTAGAATATTTCCATTTCTTTCATTCTTGTCGTGCGGAATTTGTTGAATTTGGAATTTGAACCTTTGTATCTCCATTCTCTCACAGATGGTGAGGACACGTGCTACTGGGTTAGCTGAGCAAGCATCCGCACATACTGCTAGGGCTGCAAGAGGCCGGGGCCGAGGTAGAGGCCGAGGTAGAGGTCGAGGAAGGGCACGTGCTGCGACTAGAGCACCTGTCAGAACAACAGTTGAGGAGCCACTAGTAGCTCCAGTTGGGGGACAGGTACCAGAAGCACCTGTTGTTACCCCCGAAATTCAGGAGACCTTAGCACAGTTCCTGAGTATGTTTGGTACATTAACTTAGGCGAGATTGATCTCTGTTGCACCAAATATTTCGCAGATTGGGGGAGTAGCTCAGACTCCTACCACAACTCCAGAGCAACAGGTTCACGTTGGTCAGGTTTCGGGTGTAGTATCGGTA